TATCATGTGATGGTCTTGTGCATTTTGTTATAAGCCTTGTTCACATCAACAGTTTCTCTTGTGCATTTTGATTTGTAATTTTTTTTATGTGGTTTGATGAGAAAATAAGTGTTAGCGTTTATGCCCTTAGGAATAAATGTAACAATATTCCTTGAGATATTTTGATTATTAATAAAGATTTATTTATTTTATATATCTATGTATTGTCCTCTTTATGTTCATAATAGTTGAATGTATGATAAGCAAACTGAAAGTCTAAGACTGTCATTCTAAATCTTTAGGTCATGCATGTAATGTGAAGAATATGCGGAAGACAAGAATCTAAAGATGGTAGTCTAAATCTTATGATCCACAATCGAGGGAATAAAGTTGGGCGCTTTATTCATGTTAAGATTGTTATGTTGTCTACTTCCTAACGGATACGGCTTGTCTTGGTCGTCGGAGGTGGGACTCCATGGGTGGAGACATTGATATAGTTTCTAATGGTGAAATCTATATTGGATCGGACTAAAGTTGAATTGTTTTAATTAATAATTCTGTTTGAATAAAATAATTCACTTTTGACGAATTATATGTTGTCATCTTAATCCTGAGATGGATGATGAACCTGTATACTTGACTTGTATCCTTTGATGTACTAAAGGGAGACATCCTGACATTATGTAAAGGTACGCTTGCCGGTACATTGGGGGTATGACTCGTGTATGCGTAGATTCGTTATTCATAGATAGTGGAATCCATAGCTCCTATAAAGAGTCAATGATATCATCTTATGCATTATCAGTGGATTGAAAAATATGAGCGCTCAGCCATTGGACTACTCTGTGTTATCTAATGGTTTACTGTTTGTAATGATACGAATAGTATTTTTCCGATAGTATGATAATGGAACATAAGATAAATGTAATCGGGAAGGTAAAACGGAACTTAACCTCAAGTCGATTATGGATATCCTATGGGGATGATACACTAATATATTGAGTCATGGACTAGAGCTAATCAGACCTTTGTAAATACACTATATAAATCGAGAGTGCAGCTCTAGGCTTGTAGTGGAATAGCGCTAGAGTTTTATAATCATGAGACGGACTTGTTGTTTACAAGTAGCGTTGTGATTATAGGAGCTTGATTTACATATGTCAGGTTCAACGAGAGGTTCAAAGTTAATTCATGGGTGAATTAATTGATAAATTAATTCTAGATAAATTGGTTGAATTATTGTTTTAAGAGTTGTTTAATATGGGAAGACTATTATATGACTGTTTTGATCAGGCAATTTCTCTATTGGGTTGCTTGAATCAAAATTAAGGCTATATGCAAGTTTCCCGTATTGAAAAACTAGGAAAAATAACTTTCGTCAGTGTAGACAGGTCGACCGGTTGGGTCGACCGGTGAGTTATAACGTCTCTGTCACCGGTCGACCGGTTGTAACGTAAAATGCATGCTGACGTGGGAAAATCGACTCTGGATGCGATTAGAACTTTGGGAAACCTAATTGTTACGGAAGTATGACTTCTAAAACACTATAAATAGCCTATTAAGTCACATTACTCCTTAGATCACTTGAAAGATTTTTTGGAGGCTATTGATAAAAGATTCTTGAGAGGAAAAATTGTTTAATTCTCAAGAACAATTTTTCGTTTGGCTCTCTTGTGATTGGAAGGAGATCAAGAATACCTAGAGGAGATTAAATGACGGGTGCCCACCCGCACACCGATCGTGGAAACGAGAATAGCAAAGAAGACCAGTTGGTTGAGGCTCTTCCGGTTGCTATTTGGAACGCTTAGATCTGTCAGACGTGCAGTTTCCTAAAATCTCAAAAGGGATGTTTTAGATCTTTAGTATTTATGTTATATAGCATCATGAACATGTTCTTGTTTGGCTTTGACGTTGATTAAAATTTTTAAATTCCGTTGCGCACTCGATGCTATTAATTTTTCAACAATTGGTATTAGAGCCATGGTTATTTGTTCATGATTATGCTATGTACATAGATTTGTGATCTAAAAAATATCTCTTTTATGCTTGAATTGATATTTTAGAGAGATGGCATTCTAAGGTTTCTATATTATGTTGTTGTCATGAATATATGGTGAATGAATGATTAAATAATTATTATTAATTATTATTTATAAATTATCAATGATTATTCATTATTTAATTTTTACCGAAGAATTATGGGACGGTGGCTGGTCCTTTGACTACGCAACTCAAGAAAGATCAGTTTGGGTGGAATCAAGAGGCCGAGGAGTCATTTGTGGCATTGAAGAAGGCCATGACTACGGTTCCGGTGTTGGCCTTACCGGATTTTTCTCAGCCATTTGTGGTTGAGACGGATGCCTCCGGCTATGGCCTAGGGGCTGTGTTGATGCAAAATGGTCGTCCAATTGCCTTTTACAGCCATGTTTTGTCTCCTCGAGGCAGGGCACGTTCAATTTACGAGCGCGAGTTGATGGCAATTGTCTTGGCAGTGCAGAAATGGCGACCATATTTGCTTGGAAGGCGTTTTGTCGTTCGCACCGACCAACAGAGTTTGAAGTTTCTGTTGGAGCAGCGACTGATTAGTACTGAGCACCAAAAGTGGGTTACTAAACTGTTGGGATATGACTTCGACATCCAATACAGGCCAGGCATAGAGAATAAGGCTGCTGACGCGCTTTCTCGGGTGGAAAGAGGGCCTTCGTTGTGCACGCTATCGTTTGCACACGATTTGGATTATGGAGTGATACAGCAACAGGTGCTGTCGGATTCCCGGCTAAGGGGCGTTTATCAGGCTTTATTGCAGGGGGACACCAGCTATCCTGGTTTGTATGATTGCATATAATATGATTTGCTATATATGTGATAACATGACATGTAGAATAGGGAGTGCCGCTCATTAAAATTGTTCATGCATATTTCTTAACATAAAACCTTATTTTTCCAAAAGATTGAGTGGGTGAGGGTTTTTTTTTTTTTTTTTGAAGAAAAGACCCATGGCCTCCATTGTTGGTCTGCAGGTAACACATGGTGATACCGACCCCTAGGAAGGGATTCATTATGTACCGGTGTGGATCTCCGAGTGGATAATTTATTTGAGCATATTTTATGGTTGTACACCCCTAGGTGACAATTGTAAAATATGGATCAAATAGTTGAAACGATGGTTATACACTCAAGATTAATTTATTTACTAATCTCCCCTAGGAGCTCTGCTAATTAAATTAATGGCCAAAGAAAATGATTATCAATATATGCTGGACAGAGATTGATTCGGATGGTATATATTGATTGGAGGGAATCCGTGTTCCAAATTAAATTTTGTATGATCTCCCCTAGGAGACTTACAAAATTTTGAGTTTGGAATTATCGTTGTGAGGTTGTGATTTTTTTTTTCAAGGTTTTGACACACAAACATATTTGTTGCATTATAACATGTATATATGTTTGATTACTAAATGTTTATGCAAGTTTGCTTATACTAGATATATGAATGTTTATTGTAGATCAAAATGTCTTCTAGCGCATTATCGTCGATACTTAATAAACACAATTTAACTGGCGAGAATTTTACCGATTGGAAAAGGAACCTAAAGATCGTCCTAACCTTTGAGAAACTGAATTTCGTACTGAATACACCTTGTCCTCCAGAGCCACATGTTGATGCTCCTAATGAGGTTTTTGTAGCGTATCAACGCTGGAAGGACTCTGACGATATGGCTCGCTGTTATATGATGGCGAGCATGTCCACTGTGCATGCTGACATGGGAAAATCGACTCTGGATGCGATTAGAACTTTGAGAAACCTAATTGTTACGGAAGTATGACTTCCAAAACACTATAAATAGCCTATTAAGTCACATTACTCATTAGATCACTTGAGAGATTTTTTGGAGGCTATTGATAAAAGATTCCTGAGAGATAAAATTGTTTAATTCTCAAGAACAATTTTCCTTTGGCTCTCTTGTGATTGGAAGGAGATCAAGAATACCTAGAGGAGATTAAACGACGTGTGCCCACCCGCACACCGATCGTGGAAACGAGAATAGCAAAGAAGACCAGTTGGTTGAGGCTCTTCCGGTTGCTGTTTGGAACGCTTAGATCTGTCAGACGTGCAGTTTTCTGAAATCTCAAAAGGTATGTTTTAGATCTTTAGTATTTATGTTATATAGCATCATGAATATGTTCTTGTTTGGCTTTGACGTTGATTAAAATTTTTAAATTCTGCTGTGCACTCGATGCCATTAATTTTCCGACAATAAGAAGGTGACAGTAATTAACCACTTCTGGTTAACAACCAAATATTTACTGTGAATGTACTTGGATAATTTATTTAAGCACACAGAATTTTTGGTAGGGTATGAAAAATATACCATATTAGTCCAAATCGTGCAATAATTCAAAATTTATTGACGAATTGGTTTGGTTTAATTCAGATTGGATCACAGTTTGATAGTTTTATGCCAACAAGACTACGTAGCTCGTAGCAGGTTCACTCTATTCTTTTCAAATTCATCTCATCTGATTCGTTTTTAAAATTTTTAATATGCATGATTAGTTGCCTTTAAAATAAAATTGTGACGCGAATGTCACTGCTCTAGATTCGGTGCTTCTTATTCTTTCCCCATCTTCTCCCTTTCCTCTTCCTAATCCCTAATCCAGATTCGTGGGAAACTGGCAATACAAGGAGAACCCCTTCTGCCCAAAAAACAAAAAAAAAACAAAAAATAAAAAAAAAGAAGAAGAAGAATGTGCTCTTTGAATTTTGACGTATATGATTTGAAATTGGAAGGGATCCGTAGAATTTCGATGAAAAATTAAATTGTCAAGCTGTAGCCTATGGTAGTAAGTTAGATAATGGCCATATGATTATTATCCCTATCCCCCCAATCCACTAAAGTACAAGAACAAGCCTTCTCAACAAAAGCCTTCAAAAACTTTCCAAAAGTGAAATTTATGTGCCAAATTTTTTGCTTAGTTTGCCTGAAAGGTAACTAACGTGGGACAGTAAGAAAGAAAGGGAAAAGGAAGAGAGAGTTGTATACAAGAGAAAGCCAGAAAGGAGAGAAACTCACCACAGCTCAGCCACTGTAGACACTGTAAATCGGACAGCACATTCTCAAACAGTTCTACTTAATACAGCTAAAAACTCATTATCTAATAGTTTTTTTTTTTTTTTTTTTTTTTGCCAAAATACACATTTGGAGGACCAATTTGAAACTTCAGACAATGAGTTTCCTATGCAAATGCTCTCCGGTGGAACCACCATCTCCATCATGATCATGAAAAATGAGTGTCAAGACGCCTACCAAACACAGCACTGAACCTACCAGAAGCTTGTCGTATCGCTCCACCCAATGAAACTTAAGCTGGCTTGCGCCGTAGAATGACAGAGCGACCAGTGAAGTCATCACAGCTATGGTGCTGCAATTCAAATATCAAATTGTGAGAATTATGGGGCAGGTGGCGCAATGTGTTAACAAACAAAATAGGAGATCCAGAATTGACAAAATGCTCAACTGTTGATTAGATAATAAGAATCGCTTGATTACATTACATTTTTATGGAGACAACAACAATTTAAAAGTAAAAAATAAAAATAAAGCACAAGCTAAGAGCTTCACTCTTGATTGATTGATTGTGAGAATTTCCACAACCAAGTTGATGATAATCAAATAAGTCAAAAAAAAAAAAATGAAAAATGAAAAAGGACTAAATAGTTACACTACCTGAATAGCAGTACTATAATAGCAAGTACCATCATGGAAGATGAATTCCCAACAGCAAGAAATACTGGAAGCGTAGTGGCACAAGGAGACAATGCGGGAACAAGAACCAGCCCGGCAACGGCCATTTTTTCCATGGGTTGGTTGTGAGAATGACTGTGACCACCCCTTCCAGATAAAAATAACAAAATATAACTGCCACCAAGGACTACAAGCAAAAGTGAAGCAAGCTTGTGCACTGTTTCTTCGCCAGCAATTGTATTTGCCATGGTTACTGCTGTTATGCCAAGAATTGAAGTCGATATGACGTGCAAGATTGCTCCAAATGCAGCTGCAAACCAAGATCAAAGAAAGCAAAGATGGGTCCAAAAACACTAGAACAGAAATTTTTAAATACAGATTTCGACAACTTCTTCAGAATAACTAGAGTCACATATACTATGATCTATCAACAAAACTTTGGCATAAATGACAAAAGAAAACTCCGGTCTTGAGCTTTATAATGAAATCAATAAAATTCAACGTTTCACGTCAATCAATGTTGGACAAAATACATCATCCTATAAAAATATGATCTCATACACTTACTTTTTAGGTAGGCTACCTCGAACAACCCGTCAGCTTCACTATAATCGTAGTGCAATATTATGTTCCAGAACAGATTGTTTGGTACATGTTAAAAGTATAAGACTATTCACCTCTTAACAGCTTAAATTTTTAAGATGCATTGATAAACTAACATGATATTAGAACGGAAAGTCTTGAGTTTAAACCCCCATAATTTCACTCTTTATCCCCATTTTAATAGTCATCGTGTGTTGGGTCTTTAATACATCTCGGCTTAAATATTCATGTGTTGAGCTTTTCAATTAATTTACTCACACGATTGCTCATTATTCAATCTACAAATGAGGGGGAGTGGTAAAGTATAAAACTATTGTTGACTCATCTCCTAATAACTTAAACTTTTGAGATAGATTGATAAACTAATATGATATTAGAGTGGGAGATCCTGAGTTTAAACCCCGTAATTGCACTCTTTATTCTCATTTAAATTATTATTATGTGTTGAGTCTTTAATATATCTCGAACTTAAATATTTATGTGTTGGACTTTCTAATTAATTTACTCACATAATTACCTATTGTCTAGTCCACACATGAGGAGGAGTATTAAAATATAAAATTATTATTGACTCACCTCCTAACAATTTTAACTTTTGAGATAGATCGGTAAACTAACATTAGAAAAGTTGTGGAAGGGGTCTAGGATTAAGTTCAAATATAAGCAAGACACACAAATCCCCCTAAAGGGCCCAACGTTTTTGGTGATCTTTTCTGTTCCAAGTTCATTGATCTATTACTCCCAACACAGAAAAATGGACCACAAATTCACAGAGAGAAACCTCTAGAAACATTAATTACGAAAAACAGGTTCATGAAATCTAATCTAAATAAGCTAAACGCAAGTACAAACCCCAGAATCAGTCAAATGCAAACCAAGATACGTGTAAATAACCAAAAACCCAATAAAATAAACAAAACGCCCAAATATCCATCCTTTCACGACAGCTTCTTCCAATGCACACAAACTGTTCGCAAAAATGCTCGATAGAAGCATAATTCAACGGAAATAAATCGCAAAACAAGCAGAACTGGAAATAAGAAACTGAAGAGCAAAGAGAAACGATAATGGAAGCCATAGATCTGGAAGTAAAAACAAAATGGAGAACGTACTGACGAAGAGAGTGCGAGAGAGAGTCCATTTCTGGGCACGGCCGACGATGGAGAAAGGGAGCCAATGCGTGGGGATGAACGAGTGGAGAAGCGACACCGTCGCGATTCCTCCGATCGTCGACAGATCTTCCGCGCTGAAACCTCCTTCCATTTTCGGACACTCTAAACAACAGACGAATTTGAAAAAGAGTTTTCTTTTCTTGGAATTTGGGACTGAGAAATTGGGGCTTCGAGCTCTTCTGATTAGTGCTGTAATTTTGGATCGCCGTCGGCGACCACCTAAAAAAATTAAATTTGTGCCCTTTGTCTGAACCTGCCGCCTAAGAAATTTTGGCTGCCTGTTCGAACCCGAAAATGATATTGAATTAAAGCCCAATTTGGCAGTCCGAACCCGGATAATATATATATATATATACATAATGTTAATTATTAATTGTATTTGTATATAAATTATTATTAAGTTATTTATTATAAAAATCATATAAAAACTATAATTAAGATTAAAAATTTAAAATTAACACACACTATTAAGTATTAATACAAATCAATTTAAAAAATTAGAATTATTTATTAATTTTTAATTTGTAATTCATAATTGTCTCGTTAATAACCTTATCAAAAGAAACTTAATTAGGATAAAAATTTAGTAAGAAAAAAATAGTGCAATCATTTTGTGCCGAATTACAAATTTTACAAAATTATAAAATCTAAATATTACAATTACAATGCCCAAAGTAAATATATATTTAGAAAATTTTTCCCTCAAATTCGGATCTAACGGCTATTTCTTGGAATCAACGAGTCAAGTTCAGGCTGAAAAAAAGAGCCGTTGGTCGGCGGCCTTTCAGGAGGCGGTTCAGGTCGGGCGCCAATGTTCAAAAAACTAGCCATTGATCGAGCTTCGGGCAAATCGGGCTTGAATTCAGGCTTGAGGGAAAAAAAATCGGCAGTCAAAGGTCGAGAGCTTTCATTCGGCGGCGGGCTTCAGCGATATTAATTTTTCTCAGGCAGCCCGAGCCCAAGAAAGTACAAGAGCAGGCGGCCTTATGTGCCTGCCCAAAGTTCCATCAATAATTCTAATGAGTATTTCTTTTAGACTTGGAAATTTGTGCAAATGTTATTTCGGGCAGGATTCAGTGTTTGTTCATTTTTTTATTATTTATTATATTTTTTTTAAGATTTGAAAAGCACAGGGTTAAGAATGTGGAAGATAATGTGCGTGTTTAGAATTGTTTTTGAAAACGATTTTTACATATTTTGAGAAACAAAAAATAAAAATGAAAACGAAACGACGTTTGTTTAGTAAATATTTTGAAAAAGAAAAAGAAAGCGAAAACAGTGAGAATGATTTTTGTGAAGGAATTAGAAAACATTTGAAAGTTATTTTCACTTTTCTATTTTTATTTTTTTAATATTTATCAATAATATTATAATATATTAATTAATAAACACGATTTTACATTTTTATTATACTCAAAACAATCTCTTAAAAAACTAACTAAATGCAATTTCAGAATCGGTCTCAGAATGATTCTCAAAACAAACTCATTTTTACTTTTTATTAAAAATAAAATCATTTTAAAACCTATTCTAAACGCACCAATTTTTGAATAGTTTTTAAAATAAATTTTAATTCTTTGTTGAACCTTACATTTTAGTTATTTAGAAAATATATCCTCCATTTTCTTATTCTTAAAAATATATACCCCTCATCACATTGCATTTAATAGGAATTTCAAAACAAAAACAAAAAATAAAAAGAATTGTATACTTTTTTTAAGAAAAGGATTGTATACATTTTTCAGTCATATTTTAAGTTTTAACTACAAAACGACCAAACATCCTTAACAAAAAAAGAAATATCAAAACAAAAAGAAAAATCTAAATTTAAAAATTTAAGAAGTGAACAAAGGTATGCATTTGTGTTTTGTTTGTTTATTTTTTTTTTTTGTCTTTTCCAAAATTTGGATTTTTATATTTTTAAGGGTCATTGTGTCATTTTATTAGTCCAATACCTGTTATGGAGAAAAAATATACATTTACAAATTAGTCAAATATTATGTCATTTTTATTAGTGTGTGTATATATCGAGAGAAAAAGTACACATTCACCTTAAAAAAAAAAAGTTCATGAACAAAGAGCATTTGGCCATCAAACTTTTATGATTTTGACTTATATAGATGGGTTGTTTGGTTGGGGGATTCATTTTCTGATTTGAATTATGATTCGTGGTTATCTATAATATTTTTTCTTATAAAAAATACACGTAAATCAAAAATAATTTTAATCACATGATTTTAATCTATGAACTAAACATCTAAGTATTATTTTTTGTCTTTTTTTTAATAAACTAGTAATAGGGGCACGTGCCAAGGCACGTGCTGATTGATAACCAATATTATGAGATCAACGAGGCACATATCAGGCTTTAAAAAATGCTAGGAAAAAAAAAAGTTCAGTACTATGGGTGTTAGATGCAACTTTTACAGTTTTGGAAAAAAATAAAAGAAAACGTCAAAACTCATTAAATAAGTTTTTTACATCTTAATTACTGATAGTGTGGGTCCGTTTGGTACCTAGATTCGCTCCCTGATTCGAATCATGATTCGTAGTTCGCTACAGTATTTTCTCTCACAAAAAATACACGTAAATCGAAAATAGTTCTAATCACATGATTTGAATCCATGAACCAAACGGACCCATTTTAAGATAAAAGTACATAAAGAATACAATATTTACATATTTTTATAGGGAAATAATAGTGGACTTTTCTTATTGCATCTATTGACAGTCTAATTATTATTTTTTAAATACTTCTTTTTAAGACAATTTTTTATTACTGAATTACCTATTAATTAAATTACTTTTAGGGACGATAATATTTTAAAAATAATATTACTCCTGATACTACCCTTTTAAAATAATAAAAATTATTATGCCCTACTCTTTTCAAAGGAATAGGGATGAATTCTAACGTTAAAGAGTCTACTTTTTTCAAAAGAATAAGGATGAATTCGAACGTTAAAGAGTCTCTCCACAGAAAGTACCGTTTAGTTCGCTAATTCGAGTTTTTAATTCGAGTTGAGATGTGATTTTATGTGAGAGTTTTTTACTGTAGCAAAAAAGTTAGATGTGATTGTTTGTGAGAGCTTTTTACTGTAACAAAACTCGAATTCTAAACTCGAATCAACGAAATGAACGGGACCAGTATATTCATGATTCGTAAAAAAAAAAAAAAGATTCATAAAAGTACATAGTTTATTTGAAAAATATAAATATTGTAATGATTAATAAATAAATAAACATATCAATTAATAATAACCAAAAGCTAACACTTAATATTTACATACTTATTTAGCATCGCATGTGAGATGTTCTTAATTATATGTTAAAAAATAATAATTTGTTTAAATGGTGCTCGTTTTAGCATTACCATACTAACACATTGATATAACATTGCATTTGAGGTTTAACAGTTAGTGAATGCTATTAAATTAATCGTTGACATGGTTTGAAAAATGATAATCTTTGTCTTTTTATGTATAAATTTTATGTCCAAAATGCATTTTGCTAAAATTGAAGATTTTGGATCTATTATGTAAGAAAAGAACAATTTGGAGTGTAACAGACAATTTACTCAAATAAATTAGTGATATTAAAAAAACAACATACATAAATGAAAAAAATTAGAAAATGGATAAAACAATACAAAAAAGAACATAGAAAAAAAAAGTATAATAACATTGTTGTAGGTTAAAATCCAAATTCTCCATTCATATATTTCTTAAAATAAAAAAAAAGTAGAAATATAAAGCGTAAATCAATTAAGCACTTTGAGTTTAAGTATTTTTTCTCTATTTTTTTCTTATATATATAGATGACTTTTTAATGGTTATAATTTTATCAGTGGTTATTACTAAATATAAAAATTTAATTATCGTAAGATGATTAGAATTTAATCTCGTTAATTGATATATATATATATATTAAGGTAGACAATAAGAAAAGAATAGAATTGTTTTTACATAACGGTTTAGCAAAGGAATATTTTTACGATTATGAATAAACAGTAAACAAGAAAGAAAGAAAATGGATCAAGACACTATTCAATAAGATTCAAAACACAAAAAATAAATAAATAAAAAGGAAGAAAAAAGCCAATATCATTATATATATATACACGTGTCCCAAGAATAAGGAAACATATTACTCGTTCATTTCACCGATTCGAGTTTTCAGTTTTAAGTTTCTACAGTGAAAAGCTCTAAGAAAATGTCACATCTAACTTTTTTTTGTGCTACAGTGAAAAGCTCTCAGAAAATGACACATCTCAACTCAAATTGAAAACTCGAATCCGCGAAGTGAACGAGGCCAGGAGTTATCGAACTATAAGGAAAGATATGGACTAGTGGGGCAAACAAATGAAAGAAAAAAAAATAAAGAAGGAAAGTCCGGACAAAATTGTTTAAAGAAAAGAAAGGGGAAAAAAAAGTGAAGCTAGCAGGTCAAACGCCTCCTGCTAACTTATCCGTCCTTTTTATATATAGTCAGATTTACTTCTCGCATTAAATAACAAAATATTTATAATATACAACAGAGATCATCACGTATCATATAGCAATTAAAAATCTTACATGATATAGTTACAGCAAGTGCAAAATGTTATAACTTAAAAGATAACATTTTGCACTTAATATGACTATGTCTATAAAATCTCAAAGTATCACACATGGATACATGATTATTTTTGCCAAATTATAAAAAACAATCGCCAATTTAATGGTCATGGATTAAAATTGTTAAAAAATAAAATTTTGAGAGTAGTTTTTGAAAATAAAAGGTTCATATAGTAAAGAATTACAATATTTAAAGTCTAATTTTCGATTTGGTTCATGGATTAGAACCATGTGATTAGAACCATTTTCGATTTACGTGTATTTTTTGTGAGAAAAAATACTGTAGTTAACCACGAATCATGATTCGAATCAAGAAATGAATCTCCCAACCAAACAACCTATAAGAACCAACAACGCTAATAACCTACTTTTGAGCAAGTATATATATTTGCCTATTGAATGTAATATGATGTACATTTGCAATTATGAAACAAACAAAGAAACAAAGAAAAATGTATCTTCTAAGTAGGGCTTTTAGTTTATTTGGTCACTTAACTATTAACTAGATGTGAATTTAATTCCTGAATTTTTTATTTTTTTATTTTTATTTTTTGGTTTAAAAAGCTCCACAAGCTTTTAAAATGGTTACAAAATAACCAAAATATATAACAAAAACTTTTTAAACAACACAAACCACATGCATTTTAGACCGCGTGGTCCAGTTCCATATTAGAACCCTTTGCCGATGGTCTAAAACTAGACAACAATATATCACAAATGCTAGATTGGATTTGAAAAATTTTATAAACAATCTAGACCAAAATGGGTGTGATATATATACACTTTTAGGTTCTTTTGTCCTTATACGATTTTAATTTTAATAGATGGTATGATTTTATTCATTTATTGCAATTAACTTTTATTTAGACTAAAACATATGAAATATAATAGCTAGAAAGATCCTTGCAAGCAACGGTCTAAACCTCGATTAAGCCAGACCATAGCGTTCAGAAATGGTTTGATATGGCTTGGTCCCATAGCTAGAAACAATCTAGTCCAGTATGGAACCATCCAAACCATTAAAACAGTCCGATTTAAAAATCTGACAGTTTGAGACCGGACCAAATTGTGCACAACCCTAATAGGAGTCATGTGACGTCGGAGGGAATTTTTGTAAAATCCGAGATTTTCAAATATAATTGTAACAACAATCTAATTAGAAATTTCTTTGATCCAATCAAGCCCAATTTGAAACTTAGTAAATCTATGTGTCTTATGGGTCTCTCGAGCCCGTTTAGTTCATGAATTAAAACCATGAGATTAGAACCATTTTTTATTTACGTGTATTTTTTGTGAGAGAAAATACTGTAGCGAACCATGAATCATGATTCGAATCAGAGAACGAATCTTCCAACCAAACATACTCTGAAAGTGTTGGAGGGATTGGATTGGCAACACGTGAAGATAATGATGTCTCTCATATTGAAAAGATACAGGGGACGAGGCTAGAGTCCTCACATTGAGAGGAAAAGGAACCATACCTAAAAAAAAGTTAAAAAAAAAGAGATAAATACTTTTTAAATGTATAAGTTTAGGTTTTACTTATTATTTTTAAATAATATATTTTTAATTAAATAATTATATTAATTAAAAATAAAAATCCAGACGGATAAGTTTGACGATTTTCTCAAGAAGTTATAAAAAGAGAAATTCGGCCCAAAAGAAAAACCCAGCCCGAGCCAACCGGGCCGATGTTAAAACTGCCCTAGATGATAGCACAAGCGTTCATATATAAGCACGAAACAAAGTCGCAGAAACATCAGCCCTTGCCCTTTTGCTCAGTCAGCCGTTGGAGCTCCTAAACAGAAACCCTAGACGACGACAAGAGAGGTTCTTCTCTTCTTCCTTCTCTGCACAATTTCCTCTTTTCCTCATTTCACTGCGTATTTATGGCCTTAATCATTCATAAGAGTTTAGGATCTGGTTGGTTTGTTTGTTTGTTTGTTTTGCAGATGGCGACAGTCCCAGGGCAACTGATTTGGGAGATCGTGAAGAAGAACAACTCCTTTTTGGTTAAGGAGTTCGGCAGAGGCAACGCCGGCGTTCGGTTCAGC